TATCCAACTAGTATCTTCTAGGGTAAATATAATGTATAAATAAAAAGTATTGTTTGGACCGGCCTGTGTCTCTAGTGAACAGGTTAACACTTTTCAAAAAATGCATTTAAAAAGTTGTTCTCACAACACTTTGTCTTTACATTTAGTGGTAACCAAGTATTCAGTTATTAGTCCAGATCCCAAAATGGAAGCTACAGTCGACTTAGCTTGCTATTTGCTGAGGATGTGCTTCACACTTGGGACTTAAGGTCAGGCTGGAATTATTCACTAGGGAGATTCTCAAGGGCTGATTCTGTGACATCTTGGCAGGAGGAGTGTCTCTCAGCCATTGACAGGTTACCACAATGTACATTTAGTTGCATGGGGCTTGTGTAAAAAGAATAATTAGCAGTAGTGGGGCTGGGGAGCCTCATCCCTTTCCATTTCTCATCAGCCACTACTACACGAATTCCATTCCCTTTTTTGGTAAAAAATCTTGAATATTCTTAAGGTTCTAAGGAACCACAGAATCTGGAATTTGAAAGAGATCTTAATGACAATTTTGCAAAGAACACCTTTTTAGTAACATTCCTGAAAGACAATTATCCAATATCCTTGCATATTAACCTTTTATAATATAAAGTTGAGTTTTGGAATTAGTAAGCCTGGGTTAAAATGAAAAAATCTATTTTTACTGGATTTGTGACTTTGGTCAACTAGTTAACTTTTCAGACTGTCAGTCTCCTCATTGGTCAAATGAGGAATAACCATGCATATTTTTCAGGTTCCTATTGGCCAAATATGAGACGATTAGAGCATTAAAATAAAGAATGATAGTACCAGATCATATCCAATTCAATAAAATAGAAAACAATGATCCCATACCTTATTAATAATGATGAATTGAACATTTGATGAGAAGTGACATATATACATAGAGTTAAAGACCCTCCCACAAAATACTTTTTGATTATAAAAGGGGAAAAGAGTAACTTTACGGTGGAGAAGTTTGGCAGATATCACCCTAATTAGCTGAACAAAGTGAGTATCATCAATAAAGGATAAGTTGAAATTGTGTACCATCTGATTGGATGTAATGATAAGAACAGAATGTCATTTTCAGGGTATTCCTGCCCATGAGGAACACCAGACAAAACCAAATTGAGTGAATTCTACAAAATAATTGGACTGTAATCTTCACAAGGGTCCGTCATAAAGTCCAGGGAAGACTGAGGAATAGTTGTAGACTGAAGAAGACTAATGAGACATACTATGGAGACAATTGACAAAACTGGAATGAGGTCTGAGGATTAGATGATTGTAGTGTATCAGTGGAGGAGTGCTGGTGGTGCAATGGTTAAGTGCTCAGCCACTAACTGAAAGGCAGACAGTTCAACCCACCAGCCGATCGGTGGGAGAAAGATGTTGAAATCTGCTTCTGGAAAGATTCCAAAAAGAAGAAAACCATATCCATTGCCGTCGAGTCGATTCCAACTCATAGCGAGCTTATGGGACAGGGTAGAACTGCCCCATAGGGTCTCCAAGGCGATGCTGGTGGATTCAAACTGCCAATCTTTTGGTTAACAGCTGTAGCCTTTAACCACTGTGCCACCAGGGATCCCCAGAAAGATTACAGCCTTGGATATCCTATAGGGCAATTCTATTCTGTCCTGTAGGGTGGCTGTTAATTGGAATCCACTCAGCCTCAAAGAGTAATGTATCAATGAGGAGGCTGGGTGGCAAAAACGGATAAACTCTCTACTACTAATCAAAAGGTTGGTAGTTCCAACCCATTCAGATGTGCCCTGGAAGAAAGACCTGGCAATCTACTTCTGAAAAATCAGCCATTGAAAACCCTATGGAGCACAGCTCTACTCTGACACACATGGGGTCTCCATGAATTAGAATCAACCTACAGCAACTGGTTTAAAGTATCAGTGTTAATTTCTTGATTTTGATTACTATACTGCGGTTACTCTGGAGAAGATCCTTGCATGTAGGAAATACACACTAAAGTATTTGGGGGTGATGGAGCATCAGATCAGCAACTTACTCTCAAATGGCTCAGGAAAAAATGTTTTGTACTTATAACTTCTAAGTTTGTTTTTGTTCCAAACTAAAAAAATGGCGAAAAAGTTTTGTGAGTTTCAGTAGGTGTGCCTGTAACTCACATTGGAAGGAGATCACGAGGAGTTTCAACTTGGAGTGTTCATGTCCACTATGGCCCAAGCCACAGGGATAGTTTGAATGTCTAGTTTCCCCTGCAACCATGTCTACCATCCAAGACTTTTCTGGTGGATTTGGGAAGTCAGCTGCTATCATTCATCTTCTTGTTGAAGTCCCCTCTGCCCTGGGGTATGACTTCAGACTGCAAGAGTCCGGCTTGGGGAAATATATTGGTGGTTAATTTTCTTACTCTTACCTATGTTGTTGTTGTTGTTGTGTGCCGTTGAGTTTATTCCGACCCATAGCAACCCTATATGACAGGGTAGAACTGTTCTATAGGGTTTCATAGTCTGTAATCTTTACATGCGCATCTGTCAGATTATTATACTGTGGGGGCTTGTGTGTTGCTGCGATGCTGGAACCTATGTCACCAGTATTCAAATACCAGCAGGATCACCCATGGAGGACAGGTTTCAGCTGAGCTTCCCGACTAAGACAGACTAGGAAGAAGGAACTGGCAGTCTACTTCTGAAAAGAATTAGCTGGGGAAAACCTTATGAATAGCCACAGAACATTGTCTGATATAGTGCAAGTCCATGAGAGCCAAAGACCTTGAGTATATCCCACTTGAATTTAGAGACCATCTCAAGAATAGTTTGATGTGTTGAACACTAATGACCGAAGAGCAGATGGGTTGTGGAATAACATCAAGGACATCATACATGAAAAAAGCAAGAGGTCATTAAAAGACAGGAAAGATAGAAAAGACCAAAGAAAGAAGAGACTTTAAAACTTGTTCTTGAACATCGAGTAGTTAACACAAAAGGAAGGAATGATGAAGTAAAAGAACTGAACAGATGATTTCGAAGGGCAGCTGGAGAAGATAAAGTATTATAATGACGTGCAAAGAGCTGGAGATTGAAAACCAAAAAGGAAGAACATGCTCAGCATTTCTCAAGCTGAAAGAACTGAAGAAAAAAATTCAAGCCTTGAGTTGCAATATGGAAAGATTCTGCGGGTAAAATATCAAAAGAAGATGGAAGGAATATGCAGAGTCACTATACCAAAAAGAATTGGTCAACGTTCAGCCATTTCAGGAGATAGCATATGATCAGGAACAGATGGTACTGAAGGAAGAAGTCCAAGCTGCACTGAAGGCATTGGCGAAAAACAAGGTTCCAGGAATTGATGGAATACCAACTGAGATGTTTCAACAAACAGATACAGCACTGGAAGTGCTCAGTCATCTATGCCAAGAAATTCAGAAGGCAGCTGCCAGGCCAACCAACTGGAAGAGATCCATATTTATGCATATTCCAAAGAAAGGTGATCTAACCTAATGTGGAAATTATCGAACAATATCATTAGTATCACACAGAAGTAAAATTTTGCTGAAGATCATTCAAAAGCAGCTGCAGCAATATATCTACAGGGAACTACCAGAAATTCAAGCCAGATTCAGAGGATGTGGAACCAGGAAAATCTTTGCTGATGTCAGAGGGAGGGATCCTGGCTGAAAGCAGAGAATACCAGAAAGATGTTTACCTGTGTTTTATTGACTATGCAAAGGCATTCAAATTATGGATAACATTGTGAAGAATGGGAATTCCCGAACACTTAATTGTACTCTTGAAGAACCTGTACATAGATCAAGAGGCAGTTGTTTGGACAGAACAAGGGGATACTGCATGGTGAAAAGTCAGGAAAGGTGTGAATCAGGGTTGTGTCCTTTCACCATACCTATTCAATCCGTATGCTGAGCAAATAATCCGAGAAAGCTGGACTAAAGGAAGAAGGGGACATCAGGATTGGAGGAAGACTCAGATGACACAACCTTGCTTGCTGAAAGTGAAGAAGACTTGAAACACTTACTGATGACAATCAAGGACCACAGCCTTCGGTATGGATTACACCTCAACATAAAGGAAACAAAAATCCTCACAACTAGACCAATAAGCATCATCATTATAAACGGAGAAAAGATTGAAGTTGTCAAGGATTTCATTTTACTTGGATCCACAATCAACACCCATGGAAGCAGCAGTCAAGAAATCAAAAGATGCATTGTATTGGGCAAGTCTGCGGCAAAAGGTCTCTTCAAAGTGTTGAAAAGCAAAGATGTCACCTTGAAGACTAAGGTGTGCCATACCCGAGCCTTGGCATTTTCAATCACCTTATATGCGTATGAAAGCTAAACGATGAATAAGGAAGACCAAAGAACTGACGCCTTTGAATTGTGGTGCTGGAGAAGAATAATGACTATATCATGGACTGCCAAAAGAACGAACAAATCTGTCTTGGGAGAAGTACAGCCAGAGTGCTCCTTAGAAACAAGGATGGCGAAACTATGTCTCACATACTTTGGACGTGTTATCAGGAGGGATCAGTCCCTGGAGAAGGACATCATGCTTGGTAAAGTACAGGGTCAGCAAAAAAGAGGAAGACCCTCAACTAGATGGATTGACATAGTGGCTGCAACTATGGGCTTAAGCAAAACAACAATTGTGAGGATGGTGCAGGACCAAGCAGTGTTTCATTTTGTTGTACATAGACTCTCTATGAATCTGAACTGATATGACGGCACCTAACAACAACAACAATTTTTACGTGAGCAGATCGCCAGGTCTTTTCTCCCATGGAGCAGCTGGGTAGGTTCAACCTGCCAACATTTGTATTAGCAGCTAAGAAGTTAACCATTGTGCCACCAGTGGGCTGTTCGAATCCATATGCACCCACATGCACACATAATTATTTGAATTTTATTCTTCCTGGTGAGTTCAGAGAACACAGTTGTCAACAAAGCTTCTCTAACCACTTGGTTCCTCTTTTCTTTTCCTTCCGATTTCTCTCCCCACGCTTTGAGTTCCCACTTGTTACATTTGCTACTGTATGTGTAAAGGCTGTGAGTCTCACTGTGCTGCTCCTGGAGACTGGGCCTCTGTCTGTGGACTGAGTGATCACACTGAAATTTTTAGTTTTCATGAGCTACTTCTCGGGGGTACTTGCCTATCAGGACCTCTGCTCTCATGTAGTTGAGTGATAGGAAGTAACACTTTTTTAGCACCATGTTTGTTCTCCTTTTTAAGATATTTTAAAGAAGGGATGAAACAAATTTTCTGAAGAAAGCAGAAGACCTCTTCTCAACATGTCTTCGGAAATCACGTACGCAGAGGTGAGGTTCAAAAATGAATTCAATGCCTCAGGCGCCGTCTCAAAGCCTCCTGCAGGTAAGAAACATTTTCTGGTTGTCAGGGTTGGTGATGGGATGAAGAATGAAGAGAAGATATTATAAACAAGACATAGGTGGTATTAATTGCTGGTGCTGTGAGTGGCCATAACTGTAAACACCGAGGAGTCCTATAAGGCTGAGTTGCCTGTAGATAGGCATTAAGGGGTTGTGCAGTTAAGTGATGGGGAAGAAAAGATATGCTGACCCTGTCTTTAGCCTTAACTCTGGTGACTATGATAAAAGTAATGCATGAGAAAGCAACTATAGCCCCACACTAATGAAAGTACTAATGCTTCTGAGAGTTTTGTTCCTGTATCTTCCAAGGTTCAGTGGGGTTGGGGTCCAAGGATTGGGTCCAGCTCATGAACCATGTCCGGCCCAGACACAGAGGTTATTGATATATGAGCGCACTTTGGGTGAAGAGTTTTTTTTTTTATAAATTTTTTTTTTTTTAATTGTACTTCAGGTGAAGGCTTACAGAACAAATAGTTTCTCATGAAACAGTAGTACACATATTGTTTTATGACATTGGTTAACAACCCCACAACATG